TTTTTGGATGCTCATTAATTGTGTAGGTAGCTCCTCATTGTGATCGTCTGGCCAATATGTTGGCGCAGTAATGTCATCCCATGACCCCAGCACAGCTTGCAAGATATTGTGAGGCTGCGTGGTGGAATCAGGCTCTCGTCAAAATAATCAAAGTGAAGAAACTTGCTTTTTTCTGTTGGTTTGTGAATTTTTATCAAATTTTTGTTTTTTGGCTTAACACCTTTCAAGCCCATGAAAGAACTCATTTCTGTGTGGATTTTTCTGAAAAACGTTAATGAAAGGCACAAAAAATGTAAATTTTGTATTACCGCGGACTCTTAAGCTAAGGAAATAACTAATCTTTGGCGACCATTTTCTCACTAATTTTACCTCTGAAAACAGGTAACCCCACCTCCTTTATTCACAAATATCTCGACTTGTATTCTAGATAAATAGATTATTTTTCATCCAAATAAAGACAAGTGAACAAGCTTTAAGATGATACCAATAACTCTACATGCCCAAAAATTGACGAGAGCCTGATTGCACCATGCTGCCTCAGATATTGGTTTTGAGGTCTTTGAGGCTCTAAAACGGGGGACAAATTAGGCAAAAACTTTGTGAACCCAAAAATATTGTAGGCCAGAGACAGGCAAGCGTGTCGTCGACTGCTGCGTGCCTTATGTCACAATGTGCCTGATGGTATTCGGATAGAGTGAATCAGTAAGTGAGGTATATTATGCTCCAGCCACAGATAGTGACTTGAAGGTTTCGATGGCATCGAAAGATTTTACCAGTGATCCCAAAACGACACGTCTAACACTGTATCTGCCAACAAGTTCATTGCTCAGAACTGACAACTTTACAACAAACAAAATGTGAGGCATTGTGGTGAAATCAGGCGCTCTTCAAAATTATGAAATCATAGAATTCGGCATTTTTTTCTTGGTTGGGGGGGGGGGTGATAGGCAATTTTTTTTCTAATATTATTCTTTTTACGGCTCAACACCTTTGATGTCCATTTAAAAACACATTTCTTTTTGTTTGGATTTTACTGAAAAACGTTGATTAAAGGCACACGAAAATGTAAATTGTCAGTTCCCAAGGACTCTCAAGCCTTGGAAACCACCAAACTTTGGTGGCTATTTTTTCTCTTATTTTACCTTTGAAAACAGGTGACAACCGCCTCCTTCAATCCACAATATCTCGACTTCTAGTAAAGATAGATGGATACATTTTTTTCATCGAAACCAAGACACATTAACAGCTTTAAAATCATACCGATAACTCTGTATGCCCAACAATTGACGAGAGCCTGTTTTCCATTGTGTCGTGACTCAAATAGAAAAGTGGAACGGACAAAACGTCCAGATTTCTTTATTTTCCCCGTACCCCGTGCTGTGGCCGGGCGGTTAGTGCGCTTGTCTCCAAAGCGGAAAGTCTGGGTTGAGCCTCGTTTCAGATACGGATTTTTTCGCCCCCTCCTGCCCACCCAGCAGTAATGGGTACCTGGCTTCGAGTTGGGGAAGTAAAGGCGGCGTGGAAAGGAACTGGCCACCCTACCACAATATGCCGAAGGCCCAAGAAGTTGTCTCACTAACAAGGCAATCCCCAATGTCCGGATATGATGCGGGAACAACTTTCCTTTACCTTCACCCCGTTGCTACATCGGGCACTCTTTGTACGTGTTCTCGTCATCAAAGCCTCTATAAATAAATCATTGATGGTCTGGTCTGGTCTCGTCAGGGTGGAGATGATCTTCCAGGTGTGGATCACCGATCTGTTGGAGAGAGGCATCCCGCTGAGTCAGCCCTACAAGCTGGAGGAGCTCCTCACGTCAGACGTGGAGATCAGCAAGTGGGTGGCCATGTTGTTGTTGTTGATCACTTAAATTGGTCGCTTCTAAGAGCAAGGGGGCTATCCCGAAATGTGCTGTTTTGAGAAAATCGAAGGTAAGTTTTTGCCCTTTATTCAGTTTCTTTAAAAGACACGGAGAATTCTTCTTTCTTATCAAACATCTATCGTCCTTATCTCCCCTTCTTCTTTTTTTATGTTTGTTATTCTCTTGTAACACCTCAAATCTTATGGCGCTCATATGACCTTATGCAGTTGAGAGCGCCGTAAAATCTTCTACTAAAAAAAAATACGAAAAAATTTTTCTATAACCAAACAGATATTTACACCAATGAAACCAAACTTCTCCTATAGGTAGGG